ATATATATATATTGTGTATAAGGTGCCTATATTTTGTAACAGTGAATCTGTTCTAAACCTGGTTTATCTGTAAAGTGTTCTCTCGCAGCAGCTCTTCATCTCTTCAGCATGTGGTCATTCAGGAGCCCCGGCCCGCAGCTTTCCCCTCACCACCCCCACTTGTTAAAGGTGATCACGGGGAGAGGGACAGAGAGGCTCTGATCGAATTTGATAATGAAGACGACCCCTCTAAGCTGCTTTGCTCCACATGTTCAAAATCTGTGGAACACTCGGCGAACACTAGGACGGCCCCCTCCCCGTCACAAGAACATTGTGTAGGTATTGATCCCGGCTAACTGGCTCTTTTAATACCTGGGGTCCGTGGCCCGGCCTGGGGAAATGCATCCTGACATGTGACGGGAGGAGCTTAATAGGCCAACGCACTGAAAGAAAAGATGGGCCTCTCCGTTTAGCATTTCTCTCCTGTCCCCCACCACCACCACCACCACCACCACCACATCTCCCAGTTTACACATCTGCTGAGGAAAGGAGAATTTACACCAGCTGCACCTGCTGTTAAAGGGACACGTTGGCTGCAAGAGGCAGCTGCTGCACTGTCACAAACTCTTTGTGCAGCAGTGCTGGAAGACGAGTTCAGATCAGAGCTGCAACAAAGCAAGGTGCATGGAGAAGTTAAAGATGGTCCTAAAAGTTTTCCTTGTGAGGAAATACGTCAGCAAACACAACTTTCTTTGATATGTGCCACATAATAAATCTTAAACTGAACCTCATACAGCACAGACAAATTCTATTATTTGCTTTCAATCAGTCTGAAATCCACAAAGAAGACTTTATTTGACTTAATGCTGTTGTTTGAACCAATCAGTTGAGACCATTTTTGACGAACTTGTGAAGGGTGCCATAAAGCTTGATCAAGGTACTTTATATTATAAAACATGAGGTAAAGTTCTCCTTTTAAGTGTATTTACGTAGTAATTGGTCCATTTACATTTTTCTGCTTTTATTTCTAATTATGTCAGTTTCAATCCTCCACAGTTCTCATGTTGTCGGTGTATTGAAGATGCCTGTAAAGAGGATTGTTGTTACACTTGAACATGTAAGTTAATATTTATTGATATGTCATTAGTGCGGTGTTGTGTTTGCAATGCATATTTTCCTAATAAACTTCAAAGGGATCTTTACGGTATGTATGTTTAACTTGTCCTTCTAGATTTTTAACTGTGATTTTATATTTTTCATTCTAAGGCGTTTATCCATAATATATTCATATTGTTAACAATGAAGGAATTTCAGTATGAATGTGTGTGAGTATGATATAAAACTAGCCTGGAATGAGACTAGTTTAAGTTCACAAGGAAATCTCTATTTCTTTATTAAGAGACAAAGACGAGAAATAAATGTGGAGACAAATTTGAGAATTTGAGAAAAATGAGATCTGTGTTAAATCTTCACAGGAGTCTAATATGAGATTTGGTTCATTGTTGCTCAGGAGAAACAGGTGAGAAAAAGAAGAAATTAGCGATAGACTCATATTTTTCTTACCCAAAGCTCACAGTTGTCTCAGAGATAGAAAGGAAACCTTTGTGAGATCTCTTTCGGGACTAGTTTTTCCTCTGGGCACTACAGAGACGGTCCAAAACTCTCAACATCATTTTTGAAAAATAAGAGAAAATGTCAACATTTTGACGTATGAACAACAAGCGTGACGTAAACCAAGCTCATTCAATTTAAAGCTGCTATCAGCGGCTCATTTTGGTCATCGTGGTAACCACACACCTGTGTCTGTCACTCCCTGACGATGGAAATTAGATCTGAAACCGTCGTGCTACAAGTCAGATCTTATAAATTCTTGAACCGTGAGTGGCAGAAGACTCTGATGGTTGTGATTGTTTTTGTTTAAATGTTTTTATGTAGGAGATGAGTAAAAAAAGACCCTTCACTTTCTGTTTTGAAGAGAAAATTTGAGCTAAAATATAACTAAAGTCTCTGTTTTCTGAGGAGTGTCCTGATGCATCTCAGTAATCCAGGTAAAAAATCAAAAAGAAAAAAAATTGTATAGGTCTTCTGGACGGGTTCTTCTCTAATGAAACGTTTCGTCTCTTCTCCAAGAGACTTCTTCAGTCTGAGAGTTTCAGGCAAAATTCAGGCTTTTAAGCCCTGCCTCCATGTGACTGATACTCACATCACATGGCTATCGTTGACACCTAATTAACACTTATTGTTAACAGGGGGTGGAGTGATACTGGCAATAGCAGCACTGTAGGAGGGGGACTACTGAAAACGGAGGCCTCCACCTCTGTTTAATGACGGACGGTCTTTCTTCACAAAAATGGCTTCTTTTACTCCTCTCTCAAACCAACGTTCCTCTCTATCAAGAATGAGAACATCCTCATCTCTGAAAGAGTGACCGCTGGCCTGTAAATGAGTGAAAACTGCAGAGTTCTGGCCATTAGATGTAGCTCGTCTGTGTTGGGACATTCTTTTGAACAGTGGCTGCTTTGTTTCCCCGATGTATACCTGGTCACAGTCCTCCTGGCACTTAACAGCATATACAACATTGCTCTGTTTGTGCCAGGGCACCGGATCTTTGGGGTGAACCAGCCTTTGCCGTAATGTGTTTTGTGGTTTGAAAGCCACTGGGACATCATGTGAGTATCAGTCACATGGAAGCAGTGCTTAAAAGCCTGAATTTTGCCTGAAACTCTCAGAATGAAGAAGTCTCTTGGAGGAGAGACGAAACATTTCATTAGAGAAGAACCCGTCCAGAGGACCTATACAATTTTTTTCTTTTTCTGAGGAGGTTTGAGAGAAAAATCTTAAAAGTCATAAAAGCATTGAGACATAGAAGATAAAAATTCTTATATTTTCATTTATACTTTGTACCAAATGGAGTTATGGGAGTTAAAAGAGTTTGTTTGCAAAAGTTAATGTGACATAAACAACCATCAGTTGAATATTCAGTGGAAAAATCACAAAACTACAATTGTGTAAAAACCATAAAGTACCAGTTCAGTCAAGTAAAGTTGGACTTTTTGTGACTTGATGTCCCCTGTTGGTCCATTACAATTTCAGACAGCAGTAACTTTCACATATAAGTTAAAATACACCAAACTTGGTACGAGTCATTTGTGTTGCATGCCGGACCATACTATATAGTCATATGACATCATCAAAGCCCCGCCCCCTGACAACAGGAAGTGACCGCTTTTTGCCTTGGAAAGCTCCATCTCTGACCCTTTTGACCTAATCAGGAGCAAACTGCTTCAGAACACAGAGAACTTCATCTCACTTGCTTTCAAAGACTTTCTGCTGAAAGTCGTGGCGACGGCGGCGTGGCGAAGTCAGACATCACGCCGTTGACATATGTTTGGCTCTAAATTCCACATAGTTCAGCCAATCTGAAAATCACACAAACACGACCCGATCTGAACCTAATTTTGTGTGCATCATACTGGAGACCTGCTCAACGTGTTCGTGTAGGAGTTTAACAAGATAACTTTAGACCCCCATCCATCGGTCCGCCTGTTCTTCTTATGAGATTATTTATGTCAGAAAAGTACTTGAAAAAAGTAAGTAAAAGTAAAAATACCTTAACAGAAAATTCCTTTGGTAAAAATAAATGTCACCGATGCGAAAATTACTTAAAAGTCATAAGACCGTTCACAAAAATTGGGAAAGTAGAAGTAAAAGTACTTTTCCATGCTCTCTAACAAATAAACTGGTAAATTTACTGAATCAAACTGGCTCCACAAAACCATGTTGAGTAAATTGGTCAATTTCTTTAAAATTAAATATGTATACTGTCTCAAATTTACTCTACTAGGTTTAGTGGAAATAGTTGACACGATTTGGTTGCGTAAATTCAACAATTAATTTTTTTAGAGCACATAACCAACTCCTTTCATGAGTTCAGACACATTTAATTTATAACAAGTACGTAACTAGGTGTTAAACTTTAAAGTAAAGAAGTAAAAATTTTAGGCTTTAAAAGTAACGAAATAAAAGTCATGATTTAAAAAATACTTAGTAAAATTACAAATTCCCCCCAAAAATTACTTAAGTACTGTAACAAAGTAAATGTACTAMGTTACTATAAACCTCTAATTTATGAAGGCCTGATGATTCCAACAAAACTGTTAACCTGCTAAATGGTGACAAGAGCTCCAAAGAGACAGATTTTTTTGTTTGTTTTGCCAAAATCCCTTTAGTTTCTATTGTGCTGTTTTCAAAAAATGGAAGCACACTATTCCTAATGAAGATACGTTTTGATGTATGATTTGCACTTTTTATTATAAAGCTATGTGACCAAGAAAATACTGTATATACAGAATAGTAATAAGTAATAGTCCTGGGGCGCAGTATTTTGAGTAAATGTGTCCAAAAAAATTCTATTTGGTTGTGAAATTTGAGCATTAAATTAAGACAAAAAGACAACATTTTATTTTGTTACACTTTCCCTGTTATGATGTAAAAAAAAAACAGAGTGACATTTTCTCATAAAGTAGTACTTTTTAATAAAAAAAAGATAAACAACCAAAGAATTGACAAATACTGTACAAAGAAAACTCTTTACAGCTCATTTACAGGTCTGTGGCAGATTTTCAGTCACTATCAAAAAAAAAAAAGCTGCAGGTTATAGCTGATGACTGTTAATTAGCAATCCAGATCTAATTAAACGACACTAATTTGGACTTTTCTTTTAAACGGTAAATATATGCCTGTGTTTTGTTTCCATGCATGTCACATAACAGAGACACTAGTTGTAACGTTTATCCTGCATGTATGATGGACATCAATAAATCAATCAGCAGCAGAGGCTGTGCATTTCTGCTGAGGGGTGATTCTGCTCATTTATTAAGAAGTGCCACACCAGGGACAAGAAAAGATGTGCAAGTAAAAAAAAAAAACAAAAAAAAAAAGCTACAGACTAAGACGTCAATGCACTTATGTGTAAGTAGGTAGTAATAACAACAGGTTTGCTTTTTTTTTCTTTTTCTTTTTCTTTTTTTTTTTTTTTACCAGAAGTGAATGTATTACAACAAACATGAGGTACTCAAATTTGGGCCCTGTACAACAAGAGCATTTTAATATAGTGCAAGTCAGACCGGAGACGCAGTCCAATAAAAATTTATATTCATCTGCTCAGCAACAATGCCCCTGCTTTTCAAGTTCTTCCATACAAAGGTTTCATTCACGTGAGGCCTTAAAAAAATATGAACCCTGCTTCAAATAAACAAATACTTTTAAGCTAACATAATAAACTGAAGTATCAACAAGTAAAATGAAAATGGTGTTAAGTTTTGTGTTTCCTATTGCTTCGAAGGTGCCGACGGCTCTTTTTGAACACAGTGTAACGACGCGGACGTCCCTCTAAACCCCGCCTCCCGCTTGCCTCCTGAAGGCGGGAGGTTAAACTGATCAACGCACAGTGGGAGGGGCCGGGGGTCATCTCTTGACCTTTGCGTCCTCCTTGATCTTCCAGATCATCAGCTCCATGCAGGCTGACGCATCCTCGCTTGAGTCGTGGCCCTCCACTGGAAACACAAAAGCGCAAACGTGTCAGCTGGAACTTCTACCGACAAATAACTTTTAAGCTCATATTTAGTTTATTAAACGACGGATGATGACAGGAATTAATCAGGAATGACCTCATGTTACTTTAAAAACTGTTTAGAGTGAGAGAAACTTTACCAGACGAGAAAGTRCTGAGAGGAACAGTTTTCAAAAATCACAAACACAATTAAAGGAATATTTTATAATGTGAACACTAGTAATGTCTCAATACCAGCATTTTTACAAGTACTCTATCAACATGCCCAATACCCGGATTCAATACAAATTTTTGCTTTGATGTATATTTCAAATGTGACCTCCATTAGACTCCACTTTATGCCTCCGATGCAACAGAYGTAAACACCGGTCTCAGTCCATGGATGCTTCATGTTAGCATTCTGAAGCTGTTCTTTCAATCAGAGCCAATTAAATAATTATTGACCTGCTTGTTTAGTTTAGCTGTTTACATTATAACCTGCCAATGGCCGGTTGTTCCGGTGCAAAGTGTATCTGTGGAACAAAGAGATGTGCACGAAGTAAAACTAAAGAATCGATCCTGAACTTTAGTATCAACATRGTCTGACACCAATGGTATTATAATGTTTCTGTGGATTCTCAGTCATCCAGGACATGGAAAAAAGAAAAAAAAAAGACGAAGCCTCTGGACTTGTGATCTGAAGCTGAAGGTGTGTGTAGTTAYGAGATTTAAACAGCATAACTTGAGGTTAGCATCATTTTTACAACTTAATGAGCATTCAGACTGCAGTCACTTTGACAAACCAGTTTCTAAATGAAAGAAATGTRTTTTATGATCCTTGTGTGACATTTAAATTCTAACTCAGTAAGTACTTGGTATCGGCAAGTACCCAAACTGAGATTCTTGTACTCTGAAGAAAAACCGGTATTGCAACACCCCTAGACTTTTTCTTTAACAAATAGGTTTTTAGTGTTTCTTTAAATTGTACAAATAAGAAAACAGCGACACCTGCTGGAGACTCACATACGGTGCAGTTACATAAAATAAATCTCTATTAGCTTCACTGACAAACACAGTTTTAAGATACACACATTTCATCTGGAACTGAAAGGGGAGATTTAAACTCTTTACTCTTTATTGTAAACTTTCTCAGGAGGTATAACCGTAACAGTTTAGCTCCAAGAAGTTTGATATTGACAGTTTTCAGTGATTTTACTACAATATGATCGTTTAGTTTTAAGCTCCGATTTCTGTCAAATTCAGACATTGAACTTTTAGATTATTACACAACTTTACTTTCTGAACAAATGAATGAACAAGTCACGGGATGAGAACGACGATTAAAACAATTCTGATCATAAGATTTAAAAAAAAAAAAAACAAACAAACCTAAAAATAAAAACAAGAGATGCTTGTAGTTTCTCACCGTTGTCCTGGATGATGCGTTTGAGGTAATCGGCCATCAGGTTCTTCAAGGCACGTTTGTAGGGCAAACCAAGGCGGTGAGGAAACACCACGGACGTGTCTACGACCGAACTGTGGATGAGCTGGAATCAAGACAAACTGCGTTAGACGCGTTTTCCACTCAGAAAACTGATTCTTCTAAAGCAAAAAGTTGGTTTAAGGAACATATATTTGGCCCCTATCAGACAAATTTGTGGACAAAAGTCTGAMTTAGATTAAAATCTTTTCATTTTCTGTTTGTGACTTTTTGTTAAAGCAGTTATTTTCATCCTTTTAGGCTAATTATCTTTTTAAAGGGGTAAAGAAATTATTTTTGTGAAACTGGTAACTGAATGAGATGAAAGAAAACAAATAGGATCAGTTTTGTATTGTTATAGTAGAAGCACTTTTGAGACAAAAATGGTGTTTTATAAAAAAAGATGTGGAAAAATAAATACATTTACAAAAGAAATGTTAAAAAATCTGTAATAAAATGTGTAATTTTAGACTCAAAACTAGTCTAATAAAGTTCACATAAATAAAGAAGGACAAAGTCCATTAACATCAAAATCTCTGTTTTTGAGAACTGCCATTAAAAAGTCTCAAATAACTGAACATTATAATAAAAAAATAATACTATTTGAACATAAAGAAGCACAGGAAGAACTATGTGAATCAACACCTGAAAAAAATATCATCTGTGGCTTCAACTTCTGCCATCTGCTCCTGTCTCTAGTCAGAATTTAACTTGAACGGTTCAGTTTTTCTGCTTGGGTCTTTTTTACAATATCTATATAATTCTCTCCATGTAACGCCATCCTAAAGAGAAAGATGAAGACTCCCACCTTCAGAGCGAGGAGGTCGCTCTCCAGACTGTGTCCGATGAGGATGGACTCCGCCCTGAACATGCTGAGCAGCACGGCCTGAACGTCTCTCAGGGTGATGGTGGCGCTCTCCAGGTCTTCCTCCGTCACGCCCGAAAACCTGCCGGACACCAACAGGAGAGTCAGRCCTGAGGCGGAACCGTGGACCTGTTGGCCAGGTCGTAAGAGGGCGGCCACGGACTCACCGCGTGTTGTAGTCGACCACCTTGCTCTCTGGCTTGACGAACGTGTCGTAGATGACTTTCATCTCCGAGTCGATGACGGTGACTCGCGTCAGTTCCAGACCCTGCTTTGTGTAGCACTGAAGAAAAACGGCCAAATTWAAAAAAAAGGCACTTTGTGACTTTAGCTCGATTCAAAGAAACAGGAGAGGAGATTAAAAATACTGATGTTCTTGAACGTGTCGTATCCGACTCACCATCTCGCAGTCCAGAGCAAACACCCCGCCGTTTCCGTCAGGTGGAAGCGGTTTGCTGAACGTCGACACRAAACCATCGAGTGACTCTTTTCGGGCGTCCTGAACGTGTTGCTGTGGAGAGATTAGGTGACTTCAGGCGCATGATCATAAAAATAAAGTTAGATATCTAAACGTGAAAGGACTTTGGGATAATAGGAAGTAAGGTTTTATTTATAGTTTCAACTAATAAGTGGAGGCAGTTCCTTTGAGGGTCACTGGTGCCCGTGCAAGGGCCGGGGTACACCCTGGAYATGTTGAATGTCCATCRCAGGGACACGAAGACCAACGAGACAAACAACCATTCACTGTCTCACTCASACCTACGGACAATCGAGTTACCAATTATGTCGTGTTTTTGGTCTGTGGGAGGAAACCGGAGTACCTGTAGAGAACCCWTGCATGCACAAAGAGAACATGCAAACTCTACACCAGGKCTATTCAACTGGTGGCYGATGGGCCACATCCGGCCCGCGAGTGACCAAAGTTTGGCCCGCCCATTGGTTCATTTATCTCTTACCCAAATCCCCGGTTTTCTACTTTAATTACTTTAAATTCTTTTAGCTAAACATAGACGTGTGGTATCTACGGAAACATCAGAATTTTGGCTAGGAACTGATAAAAACCATTTCAATACAAGCAGTTTAAGATAAAATGATGAAAGTGAAAATAAAATTGGCTTAAAAATTTGACAAGTCAGAGATGTCAAAATAATATGTGTTAAATAGAATGTTTTTTTGTTTATTTGTTTGTTTTTGACATTGTTTTATTATCACTACTTTTATTATAGGGTTTTCTGTATGTTGTATTCATGGTTAAATGCAGCAAAATAAATTATTTCAAAGGTAACAGATCTTTGTAACACTTGCTGGAAGTTCGGCCCCTGAGCTGTTGGCCTGCAGTAACTGTGGCCCCCTGTAGAAATACAGTTGAATAGCCCTGCTCTACCCAGAAGGGTTCTTGGCTGGAATTCAATCCAACATGATGCTGAGAGGCATCAGSTCAACCAACTGAGCCACTGTGCCACCATTTCTTCCTTTTATTGTATTTATTAATATAGAAACACAAGGGAAGAGTAAATACCATGAGCTTAATGAGTTTAATGTGCTGTTTGTTGTCATTTYGAAACTTGTTTTCTTTTCTCTTTAACTGCTTACATCAAAGTGGGGGGATTATGTATTTTCCAGGAACACAGTTCAGTTCTTTACCACAATCAAGTGACAATGGCTACGTTCACACTGCAGGTCTCAGGTCGTTCAGGCAGCTCCACGTGGCTACAGGAGATTCAAGGATTTCTACAACATGCATGAATGAGTCAAAGCAACACTCTGTATGTGTTTGATGAGGGAATAACATTAGAACATGATATAATGTAAAATAACTCAAGCTRTTTTCTTGTGTCGACAGTTTGGTTATTTTCACCTCATCCGCTTTGTTCACGTCTTTCCAACAAAGGTCAAAATGTTTCAGAACTGATCATTTTCTGACGATACCTTTGAGATTTGACATCCTGGAGCTCCAACAGCTGTGGAGCAGCAGCTGTACGTCGTCTCCCAGCCTCCGGCAACTGAAGAGACAAACAAACAAACAAAAATTTAAATACCTCAGGAACTGGTGTTTATAACGCTGCTCCGTTGACTGAATATTTACCTTTATGTCTGCGTAGACGCCCCCAGTGGAAGCTACATTCCTCTCTACGCACACAGCTGCCGTTTACGTTGATCTTATACTCTGCGCCGCAGCGACAGCAGATTTTGGTGAATGCTGAAGAAAAAAAACAACATACTTTATCTAAACAGGAGAGTAACCGGTGAGTGATGCAGATTCRTGTTGATATGAACTGCGTCATGTGTTGACATGAGCAGTTGCTCACGGTCTGGGATGATTTTTTTCTCTGGTAGGTTGTAAATGACGGCCTTTCCGGAGACCCCGGGGTTTAACCGTGGGTATCCGTGCTCCTGGAGCTGCTCCTCCGTCATCAGGTACGCCTTCAGCTTCCTGTACAGAGCCGCTCCTGCCAAGAGAGAAAAACAWCAAAACGGTTTTTAAAAAGCTACAGCAGAAAGAAAAYCTTTGAAAGTTTAAAGTGATACAGGTTTTCACAGTTAATTTATTATTAACCAAGTGCTGTAAACACGTCCCCTCTGATGTGGGGTCACAGGGCTGAAGTGGTGAACAGGACCTGAAGGTTGTCACATGGTTAACCAACAGTTCACACAATCATCCTTTATTTTCCTCTCTCTCTCAAACATCTGGAGTTTTTTTTTTATATCAGAGGTATAAACTGTATTTGTTGTTGCTAAGGAAAAAAAACAATTCTGTGAAAAAAAATGGGAAAAACAAAGCAGCGCAAGGCTTCATGTGACCCTGAACGGAAACACCTAAGCTCTTACCAACCAGCCTCTCCTCCTGCTGTTTACCCGACCTGTTGACAGTGAAGCTGGTCGTGGCGGCGAGGCGACCGCCCAGGACTTCCTCGTGGGACTGGGGCTTCCTTTGAGCTGTTGACCCAGATTCTTCTACAGAAAAACAACAAAACACGCGGATGAAAACAAAGTAAATTYTCTCCTTATTCAGACGCGTACAAAGTGCAAACKRTGTATTTTTMTGCTGTGCATGAATTTAAAGTGCCYGTGACATCTAATTTTGTAATAAATACGAATGCATTATTGAAAAGATAACATTGATAGCACATTGTAACAAAGGTTTCACATTGCTGAGATAAACGGTTGTTGAGATATTTTCATGTGCAGTAACAGGAAGTGATGTCAAAGTGGAATGTCTGCATGTAAACCGACTGTTGCTAAAATGACTAATAACACAGACTGTAGACAGTGTTGTATAAAGTACCACAAAGTGATACTTGAGTAAAAGTACAAGTATCT